AGGATAAGCCTGCGCTGCAGTACGGCCCGATGACTTTCCAGTTTCTTGGAGTGCTCTGCGGTGTGCTTGTGTTGGTGGGAAGATAGAGGAGCGGGCTGCTTTATCTCGGCCTCGTTACTACTGCTTTTTATCTGCATGTAAAGAAAACCTGGTGGAGGGTTAAGATTCCTCTCGGTAGCTTCAGGGTTCGGATCTTGCTTTGAAATGGGTATCGAGGTTCCCAGTAGCTGTGCTGACCAAGCAGTTTTTTTTCTTATCGCTGTTTCAGCCCCAAGATGAAATAGAAGTTGAAGATGGGTTTAAACAGTACGACGGTAAGGCTTTGCTACAGTGTTATCAAAGTGTAACTCAAAAACTTTGAGTATTTTGACCCTTTATGTGTGCTATTTTTGTACTGACTGTTACTAGATGATAATTACTGTCTGTTTTGTCTTAGTGATTAGTGCATTAGATATGGAAGCTATGATGAGTACCATAAACGCTTGGATAAAAAACCCAGTCAAGTTTGAACGTTCTCATGGGATCAACAACACACTGGATGCCCAGATCTTACAAGATAAGGAGGGAGGAGATGAAACAATCCACATTCTTATTGTTGAAGGCTTCCTGCTTTATACCTACAGGTAATCAAATGTGACTTTGTGTGTTTTGGTTTTTATGTGATTTTACATGATAGGCAAACCTCCAAGGGAATAAAAAGACCTGTTCTAAGCCAAGAGTTAGCAGCTGGTATTGACTACTGTTGAGTTTAGGCGTTGTAAGTCTGAAGATAGTTCTAGATACAGGAAATGGATGTAGTTTTACCTTTCCATTTCTCGTGGCTAATCAAATGGTCTAGCTGTAACCAAACATGTATCTCTTTCAGGCCACTGATTGACATATTCCACCATCGGTACTTTCTTTCCATTCCATATGAAGAGTGTAAAAGGAGAAGAAGGTAAGTTTATCTTTCTAAGTTCCCTTGCTAGCCCAGTAACGTCTTACTCTGTTCCAAGGTGTTGTTTCCCTAAAGCTTATACGTAAGAAAGGATAAACACTAGTGGAGCTGCTATGTTAGCAGACTCCAGCTTCCTTCACCAAACCAACCCAAAAGCTTTCTACCAAACTACTGTGTGAGACAAATGCTCAATTTCAGCCCAGATCTTTCTACAGGCTTTCTTCTCTTCTGGTTTTCCAATGATATGGTTCCCAGGTCTCGAACTATTCTGGGGTTTTATATTTGGCTGTAGCATTTGCATTAAGAACAGTGTATGTGTGCAACGAAACACGTTAAACTTGAAAAAATTACATGTCAGAGGAATAAGCAGACAGCTCTTTTACCCAAAGTTCTGCTGAAGCTTTCAGAGAAGGCTATTCATCAGTATTAAGATCAGTCTGTCTTAGGAATCCTTTTTGCATCTTGAACACTTTGGACCCGCACATCAAATTCCAGCTTTTTTGGGGTATCTTCATGCTTGCAGCTTATGCTAAATACTCATGTTTGATAAGCTCAGAAACTACACTGGAGGCAAGAGGGTCAGGCTAGTGTGTAGAGAAACTGAATGAACTATCTTGTCATTTCCCTAACCTGTAATTAGGCTATTCTTGAATAACAATGTCTTAATTTATAGTTCAAGGAATTACACTGTACCAGATCCACCTGGATTGTTTGATGGCCACGTTTGGCCTATGTACGTAAAGCACAGGAAGATAATGGAAGATCTTGGAGTTGATGTGGGTAAGTCTTTAATGACAAAAGCAGTTTTCAAAGATTGCTTTACATGAGAGTGGTTTTCAAACCTGGGATATACATACTGGTGAAATATGCATGAGAGGAGTTGAAGCAGGTGGATGGAGTATATTTCTCTGATACCAGTCTGATACCAGTCAAGTGCATGCCCTTTAAATTAGGATCTGGCAGGTTTACAGAAACATTCAATTATAGTGCTCTCATTTTACTTTCCTACTTTAAGTGCACTTGAATGGAACAAAATCAAAGGAGGAGCTGTTTAATGAAGTGTATGGACAGATCCAGAATAAGATTGAAGAATTACTTAACATGCAGGTACATGTTCATGCTTATAACTGCAACTCAAGGGCAACCCTTTTAGAGGCTACATTGAAAAAGCATGGGAGCTATAACTTGAAGTATGTTCATGTATGTCTTTCTGTTTAGAAATAAGCTGCTGCTGATTCTTGTGAGTGAAGATGATTCCCGTTTGCTCTGTGCTGTCTACCTGACTGCCACTAAAGTTCCAGCTTCTGTGAAGACTCTCAACTCTTAAATTTGACTTTGTTCAATCTTCCCTTGAAACTGAGTTATATATGGTCATAATTAAAAAGCACTTCCCCCTTCCCTTGTCTGTCATCTTCATTTGTGCTTCAGCCTCGTATGTGGCCTCAGACAATCTCAGTTTTCTCCTAGTCTCCAGTCTATTGGGAATTCTTTTCACTATGTTCTTAACCTGTGAGAGTAAAATATTATAGTGGAACTGATGTGAAGGAGAGTGTGTGTTTGTATGTTTGTATATATATATACATATGCTGCTTTGAGTTCTTTCAGTAACCTGCATGAATTTCTATAATCTGTCTAATTAGGCAGCAAGTATGCTTCTTGATAAAGAAATTGGGATTGATTTTGCTCTTCAAAAATGAGAGAACAATAGGAGGTTTTCAGGCCATTTTACTAGCATTGAATTATTCTCTTAAATCCAGTGCATGTGTTGATCTCAGATACAGAAAATTCAGTTTAGAGTCAGGGAAAAAAAATTACATATACAACAGCTTTAAAATTATTGCTCTAGAAGATTTCAGTAGTGTTTTGTAGCTTAAGGCAAGTTCACATGTAGATTCAAACTCCTGTGTACGTACAGAAGTAGTTTAAGGCCTTGGTTTATATAGAAGAACAGTGAAAGAGCGTATGAAGGCTTAATCTCTACTAGGAGGAAAAGCAAATTTAGGACAAAAGCTTGATTTAAAAAAAAAAAAAAGTCTACTAGTTGGTTGTCCAAGAGGGAAGATAGGTATTGATCCATTGCGAGACCAGTCCTTTTTCTCCAGAAGGGTTTGACCAACACTGAGCATAAGCAGTTACTTGAAGCCCAGATGCATTAGCTTCCTGACAGGAGCTGGTCCTCCCCAGTATCCCCTGGAAATGGAGAAAGTTGGTTCATCAGGTTTTATGTATGTACTGTCAAAGTAGTTTTGCTTTACTCCTGTAGAATACCATACTTGCTAAGATGTGAGTGTTAGGGGTTTGTTTTGGAGTATCATCTTACTGGGCAAGGGGTACCTTTCTGTGCCATTCAACCCTATTCTGCTTGAACAAACACCTGTTACTAGCAAAGTGCCCAGAACCCTCAGGAAGTTGAGGTCTTAGTCATGACTAAGGATGCCCTTTGTTTCCTAAGGATGCACTTTGTTTCCTTCTGTTCTAAGGAACTAAGCCAGAACACGTGTCTGTATCTGCCTTTTTTCTGAATGATCACAGCAGCTCTGCCTGCTCAGAACTGAAATACTTACTTAAGTAGCGCATTCCAATAGAGAAAAGGCATCATATCAGCTTTCATATGGTACATGGTTATTCTCTCCTTACTCTGGTCAATGGGAAAGGTCTCCAAAGGCTGACCATTGTAGTCAAATTCTGCTAGAATCACCTTGTTGTAGCCTGTTACTAGCGGGCAGGAAGTATATCCATCATACTGCAATGAAGAATAGCCCCTTTTCATTAATCTGACCAAAGTAAATCCTGAGGTATTACAAGCCATGTTGTTAACCATCGTATTTCAAATTAAGTTACTAGGAGGTTTCTGCATTTATAGTGTTAATACCAGCAAGTTTGGAAGGCTGCTAAGCCAGTATTACGGTTTAATAACCATAATACTAAGCCATTTTATTTCAGATGTAGATTGTAGATTTGTTAAAGAACGTTGCTTAAATTAGAACTAACCTAGAACAATAGGGCTTAGTGTCATTAATTGCTGGTTATTACTGTAACCAGCAGATGAGGATGAGAGCTGATGCTACGCTTTAACAGACAGTATATAAACAGGATCCTGAATATAGTTGTAAGAATTTCCAGAGGATTGCAGGAGTGTGGATGATGATTCAGGTTAGTACCCCAAAGATTATTAATTCAGAAACCATATGTAAAATGAAAGCCAAGTCTCAAAGAGAAATTTGAACATAGTTATAGACTTGACATCTTCTGTAGTACAAAACCTTCAATTTAACTCCTTAAGATACCATGTTCTGTACTGGGGAGGCAAGTTTAACATAGTACAGATGTGTAAAGTTTGCAAGGGTTTTCTTGGAGTAGGGATTATACTAGTCAACAGTTTTACTCTAAATAAGTCACCTGCATTGGTGAAGAACCCAAACTAATCAGCCTTCCAACTTCTTTCAACTCGGAAGTCAAGGAATTAAATAGATAACATTTTTAACAGCAGTATCAAGAATATGAATTGTGCAACTGAATTACTATTATGACATACAGTATTTAGCCTTTTGGCACCCCAGCTGCTGATGCAAAGCCCTTCCTGCCTTCTGATTCACACTGTCTAGCTGCTTGCAGGACTTCCTGCATGAGGACGGAGAAAACATTCAAAATAACTTCTCCCTGAGACAAGATTTGTAGGTACCTTTTTAGTTGGCAACTGGTTCTTCATTACCAGGGAAATAGTTTTATCAAGCACTCCAGACTGGGCAGCTACATAAGAAAGAAGGGGAAAAAAAAAAAAAGGTGTATTAAGGCTTTGTTTCAGGCAGCAATTATTGTCATTCTAACCTACGCCCATTCTCCTCTGCTACACTATACCTGTTCAGTCTTCCCAAACACTAAGATTCTGACATGCTGAAGTTTTGCTTCATCTTCAGTGCTGTAAGGGAAGTATTCTAGACCCAATTGCTGGAACAGTTGACCATACCATTCTTCACATTACACCAGTAACATACTGTATAGCCTTTCTTTTTTTCAAAACCAATAACATACTGTATAGCCTTTCTTTTTTTTTTACCTTCTTATTTTCACTTGTAAGACCATATGCCTAAAGTGTTTTTATATTGGACCCTGTGGCTACAAGTACAGAACATGCGATTCTTCAATAGCGACTTATCAGTTAGCTGACACGTATGCATGAGCTGCTAAGATAGAGCAGAAAGTTTTGTTACTGAATGATGACAGAATGCAAAAGTAGTACACTCATTTTATGCCATTCCGTGAACACAGAAAACAGAATTGGTTCATCTGTGAGGCATTTGGAACAAGAAAACTGTGGGCATCAGCATGGTCTGTAGCTAATTAGTTGGCCCAGGAGACTGAGGTCTTTTGGAAAGCTGGAAATAATTGAAGTCAAGACCTCAGGAGTAATGAACTAAGCAAAAAAGCTTACGGTCACTCCCACACTTTTTGTTACACAACACACACATGCAACTTTACCTACAGCTGCAGCAGTTTTTGATGTTGGAAGGTTGGTGCAGTCTCCGATACCAAATACATTAGGATACTTTTTATGTTGTAGGGTTTCCTTGTCTACATCCACCCAGCCAATTTCATCCGAGACAGGACTGTTGATGAGTACATCAGGTGGCCCCATTGGGGGTGTGACATGAAGCATTTCATACTAGACAGAAAGGAAAGGCACTCAATGGCTAGTTTATCCAAGCAAATCATACCTGTGGTGATATAAGGCAATAAGAGCAGCATGGAGAACGGTTTTCTTGGTTGGTTTGTTGATTTTTTTTTTTTTTTTAAACACAAGTATATAGAATGAAAATTTGCTCTCAAATTTGAAGTGCATCCTTTTGTTAACGTGAACTTGATCAGGCAACTCCACTTAGACTGGCATAACAGCAATTTGCCTTCCTCAATATACATCTGAGACATTCCCAAGTTATGCTAACAAGGCATGCAGGACTCCAGGCATAGTTTATAAAATATTTTTTTCTTCTCTCCACCTCAGTTTCAAAGTTTTTAATCTTCTCCCAAAGTTAGAGATGGTAGTCTCAGGAGGTAGTGGCAGTATACAATGAAGCAGACGTTATGTTGTTATAGTGTGGCAGTTATGTTACGCTATACAAGGAAAAGAAATAGGACCAAACTAGAGGTCTGAAAGCTCCTGACCTGATGGACTTCAGTCACTCCGGGTTTCTCCAAGTTCTCAAACACCGCTTCCTGCTTGTCTGCTCGAACTTCTACAAGGTTGCGCTTATAGTTAACAGTAATATTCCTCTCCTTTATTATTTCAAGCAATGAGTTAGCATACTTCTTAACACCAAAAATGACACCAAGTGAAGTGTTGAACATTATGTTTGCTTTGGAACGTTTTCCTGTCTGCACAGAGAAATCAAATTAACCTTTTATATTAAGAAACTGTGACAAGCTAGTAGAGACAAAAGAACTATGCTGCGCTACTGAACAGTTAGTTCAATTATTAATGGAGTATTAACATTAGAACTCTTGAGATACAGCTATTTCACACCATGTTAGAAGCTAGATAAGATAATATTTGCCCTTTCTGAGTGAGGTACTGAAGACCCCCCACACAAATTGCTAGTGAGAAGAGGTGGCTGGAATTCACTGAGGAACTGCTGTACGCAGGTGAAGCACTTGCAGCAGCTTAGCACTGTATAGCTTTCTGAAACCTTGAGTTCTATGCATTATTCAGATACTGGCCCAGCAGATAGCTCATGAAACTTAAACACTTATGAAGCCTGACACTTCCACTTGAAGTTGCTTTTTGTTTCCACTAAGTTTGCTTTAACAGCCTGGCTAAGACTCCTCCAGATGCCAAGACGGTGCACCACAAGGAGCAAGCATAGCCACTTTTCAGACTAGCAGAAAGACAAATGGCAACAGTACTTAAAGTAACAAGAATTATTTAATTCCAGCCAGCACATTATTTTAGCGCACCACTTGAAGTTACAAATCAGGCTGAGAACAGTTGTACCTGAAGCTCACCAGAAGCAGGGTAAGCATTTCTTTCCTTACGGATCCTGAATTCTACAAGTTTCTCCAGTATTAAATATATGCTAAATATTTATGTACAATTCAGTTAGCTTCATTTATTAGACATTAATAATGGAAAAAGCAACTCAGTCACTTTAATTTAATAATCCTGAGTCACATTCCTCTCGTGTGGTTTTTATTTGTTTTAAAGATAATATGAAACCCTTAGAACAAGCCTTCCTTACAACTGTGGCAACAATCACTGGCAGAGAGAGTAACATACTTACTTTCCTCCAGTAGGCCTCTGATAAATACATGATCTTCTGAGGAGCTCCTGCACACTTCACTGGAGTATTTGGAAAAGTGAAGATAGCATTTCCTTCCTTGAAATCTTGTAAAGCTTTCCATGTTTTCTCTACTGTATGAACTGAATAATTGGAACCTATTTTAGGGTGTTGAAAGCCCTCTGGCAAGCCTTTGATCTAAGAAAATGAAATTAAGATTTAAAGTACAGATGGCAAAAATTTTGTCATCATCAAGTATTAAACACAGGCTTGAGAAATAGCTGTTTAAGAAGCCTCTAGCAAAAAGAAAGCCCATACATACTTGCTAGTTGGCATTTCTGAAAATAAGCCTAGCAATTGAACAGGTATTGCCATTAGATGATTTAGTAGATGTAACATTTGCTGAAATGACTCTGGTCTGCAACATTTGTAGCATAAGTGTTCAGTGCAGACCCAGACCCAAACCCAAATTTTTGTAGACTAGCGCATGAAAATCAGAGTAAGAATATATAAAGTCACTGCCACATCACCATAAGTAAAAATCACATTAAAAAAAAAAAAAAGGCATTATGAAAATTTATACGGTGAATGAAACTTTTCAGTAGTCAGCTACAGATACTGTTATTTCCTAGGGTTATTTTGTTTTAACTCAACTGTCTCCAATAATTACTTCCCTACTACTTCTACTACACCTGAGCATCTGCTTGTGAGAAAGGGAGTTGTCCCCATTTCAAAATAATGGATTGCAGAAATTCTGAGAGAAAACTGAGTCATGTTTCATGCACTGCAATGTGTTTGGGATGTTACAGTCTACATCAGGAAGTATGCTGTTGGTGAAGACAAATAAAAGAAACCATCCCTCTTTTTAAACTGTCCACTTTTGTTTTAAAGCCATATACATCTGTTACTATGAATTTTATTCACTACGGGCTAATAGTGATTAACTGTATTACATGGCTTCTACTACCGAATACCAAATGTAGTTTTCTCACATTGTACTGCAGACATAGGAAGACTGAGAGGGTCACTGAACACAATGCAATTCCTCATTCCACTCACCTAATCACCAGAATTTATCTGGTGTGACTACAGTTAACTAAGACTAGCTCTTGCTTTATGTATGCCTTGAGTACTTCTTTGAATAGCTCCCAAATATATTATCAGGTACTACATCATATTAGGTCAAGTTAAAACCACTGGAGCCAAATCACTCAAACATCTTGCCTTTGTGTTTTCCTCCTCCTACATATCGCTACAGTCATTCTTGCGCCATACAGTGGTATTAACATTTTCCTCCGAGCGTCACTGCATAAAGTGTACAGGAAACTTAATAGATGGGAAGGGCCCCAGGGCCTATTTAAACACAAGCGTGGTAACTCAGCTGGTTCCTTTTGAAGTGCATCCTTTAAGAAGGTGAGGGTGGGTCAAATTAATTCTGCCGAACAGATTTTACTGACTGCGGTATGTTCCTCACTTCTGTTTACATTAGAGATGCTTCAGACGACGGTGAGCATACCTTATTATCTGATTATTACAGACCGCCTTTAAGTTCTAGATTTAACTTGCTGCCCCATCTGCTGATATTGCCATAGAGATGCAACAAAGCTGTCTTAAAAGACCTTCCCAAGGAAAATTTGGGGTTTTACATAGAGATCTGTGGAAGGAGTAAAGTCATTAGGCTGTCTTCTGGCTCTTTAATTCATATTAGTGTTCAGTATCTTGCAGTAAAAAAAAAAAGCATACTGAAAATCTGTTTACTTTTGTGAATCATAAGGGTACATGATGCCATTAAAACTAGTAAATACATGAATACTGTAAAACAAGTACCTTTTCGTAATGCAGACTAATCCCAAGGGAAATTATCAGATACTTGTAAGATACCTGTTGTGTAAGGGGGGGGAAAAAAAAAAAAGGTATTTTAGACAAAAAAAACCAAAACATCACCTCAAAGCAAATTTAAGTTCTCTGACAGCAACAGAGTCATAAGGGAAGGAAATACAGGGAGCATTAGTAAAGTAAAAGTTAAGCTCCAAGAATAATTCATAGCTAAAATGACGACTGCGTCATGAGTTATAAACACAGCCTTTGCTATACAGAAAACCAAGTGTTTGGAGCAAAATATTCTCTCTTTTGTGTTCAGTTCACTACAAACAGGGAAAAGACTTATCATAATGATATTTTAAGTTGATGTTATTCTAACCTAGTTATCAACAACAATTTTTTTATTAGAAACAGATTTTAGGATCAAGTACTTCTCATAAGACTAAGTAGAATTTTCTGGCCTCCTAGATGCTGGAGGAAGGTCTTGCTCAATAGGCAGTTCCAAGGGGATCTGCAAGAGGTGGACAGACAACTCAAGACATTGAATAACAGGCTAAAGAATAATTTGGGTTTTGTTTTTTTGTTTTTTTTACATTATTACCTTGCTATCATTCTCCAGCCACACACAGTTCTTATCTGGATCCAATGCTGTAACTCGAGATTTGATCCACTCAACACCTTTAGGCATTACGCTTCCTGTTGGACGAGCAGAAGTTGCCAGCTGCTTTGCACCACCACCAACCAGGGTCCACAGTGGCTGATAGTAGTGAGTCTGAAAGAAATGTTCAAAGGGACATTTAAGAACCATGTAAAGGGACTTTAAGATTAAGGCACATCACCCCAAATAGGAAGCAATGTGCTCTTAACATTGTATTATTTTTAACAAAAGAAGCTGTATAAATAACCAAGAGTTTTGCATGAAAAAGCTGGAGGGATGCGTGCATCTCTACCATGGAGCAACAAATTTCATGCAAAGCCTTCTAAAAGATGGTTAGTTGGCTTCCTCTCTACAGTTAAAAACATGTGAGGTTGAAGAAGGATGAGAATCAGACCAATCTGGTCACATATGAAAAACGCTTATTCTTTTTGATGCTTTATGTCCAAGGAAGACATACCTCACTTGGCTCAACAACAGCCACATTTTCTGCCCCCACTTTCCTCTTCATCCGAGCACTCATGGCGATTCCACCAGTGCCTCCACCCAACACAAGTACTTCATAATAATCCTTGGCAGCACACCTGGCTGCTGTATGTAAGCCGAAGGAGCTCATCTTCTGCATTCCTGGTTTCAGCACCCATACACCAGGACGGAGACAGGAACAGGAGGACACTACTCCAATTGCTGGCATCTTTCAGTAAGTGGGAAGCTACAAAATAAGGAAAGGCACCAGTAACAATTACAGAAGGTAGAATTTATATTATTTATATGTCTGGATGAGTCTTCAAGGCAAGAATTGTAATACTAAGCCTTTGTTGCAGCTAATCCACTAATTTGCAAGTGGATTGTAATCAATTTGGGGAAGGAAGAGAGGAGGGGGAAAAAAACCAAACCCCAAGTCAATCACGACCTCTGCCAGGAAACTGGAATTTCATACAAGCAAATGAATTCTAACAAAGCGCAAGAACATCTTCTGGTTATCGTGGCAGGAAAGCATATATGATCCCACAGCACAGGCGATGCATATGCTGTAACTCCCACTGTAATATTAGAATCATGAAGAAATGAGTGCCGCAAAAAGGAACAAGGACTTGCTAGGTGTTATAGATCACTGAAATATTGAACAAGGTAGTTGTGTGACCACACTGAGTGCCATTCCGCTAACTGTAATGTCAGCCAAACACATCTTTACATTTGTTTTTTAACGTTAGGATATACCAGCATATGCACACATCAGACATATCCCTTCTCGCTGCCTCTCAGGGGTGCAAGCCATTATGGTAAGCATGCCAAGTTCTGTGGTGCTTTGGGTAAGGGCATGTGTATTAGTCTTGCAGGAGAAGTAGTGAGCCCTAAGCTTGATCGGAAAACAAAGTTCAATGAAACAAAGAGTTTACAGCTTCCTAGATCTGGGATCTTCGAGCATACGCAAAATACTTAGTTCCTTACCCATGGTCACCTCTTACCTTTTACATCACCAACGTAGCTGGAAACAAAGTTCAGAAACCCATACTTATCCTTGCTACAGGTGCACCCTGTCACCTGACAAGTGAGAGCCAGAACCCTAAAGTATGATATAGCTTGACAATTGTAGCACTGGATATGCAATTGCATTATCTAGAAGACAGTCAAGGTTAACCCACGTTTCCCTCCCTCTGCAAGAGTGAACAAGAGCTTTTTCTGTTCTAAATCCATTGTTTGCAGAGGCTGAATATCAGTTTTTAGCTTTTCAGTGATACAACGGGTATAAACTCATTTTAATTCCGTTCCTTATTGCCACATTGTCAATAAAGAATGAGTAAGCATTATAACCTGAAAAGCGACTTCTGACAAGACTTTCCTGTGTTCTATACCTGCTCCCCTTTGTTTAATTCCTTGAGTCATCAGGCAAGAATTCCAGCTTTTTCACTTTAAAAGGGTAGAACTCATTTATTATTCTTTACAGACCGGAGTTTGAAAAGTAAACTAGAAACCTCAAATATTTTAAAGAAAATCTTCCAGGTCAGCTTCAAAAATTCTCCACTATGCTAGATGTAGTTGAGAAATTAATTCTGCACCTTCATGTGCTATCTTAACATCCCTCATCTCTGTGTACCCCGAATTCTTTATGAAGTCCCATTATAAACCCCTACAGTACAATTAATTTGGGACAGAGAGGGTAAATCTCACAAGTGTCCACTGTAAAAACAATTTTAATCATTTTGTTTTACAGGAAGTTTCCAAGATGCAGGCATATTCTTCTCATCCCCTTCCCCATTCAAAATAAAAACCTGAACTCTAGAATAAGTTGGGTTCACTTTAGAAGGCTGTTTATTATGTACCTAGTACAGGCAGTTATTTAAAGATGTGGACAGACTGCTCAAGCAAGGGGAGGAAGTTGTTCTAGCCTGAGAAATAAAAGTTACCTGATGGAGATGTGTGCTGCTTTCTTCAAGTTGGAGAGACGAGTAGTCAAGAGTAAGTTTTGCAACTTCCGTTTGCGAGACAGTTTTAAAAGGAACATCCTGTGTCCGGAAGCTCAAGAACGCTTTGGGTTTCATTAAACACACACAACAGGCACAGCAGCCTGCTTGCTGACAATACACAGCACGTCCAGACCAAGAGAACAAGACTTCACTTTTGTAATGCTGACGAAGGAATAATTATCCTCTCTGACCAAACAGATTTTGAAGTAAGCATGCTTATAAGCACACACAAGATGTACCTTAACTAACAGCAGTCTAATAAATGAGAATGCAGTATTATGTTGCTGTTAAGCTGTTTCAGAGTATACAGAAACAATCTGAAGTGTCATTTGTAGACAGCTGTTTTAAAAAAAACAGCAAAATCCTTCATATTAAACTCTCAAGTTAGACAGCTGTACAACTGAGTCAGTCAACACCACATCAGTCATCTACTCTGGACACTGGAGATGAAGTAACAGGGGAATTACAGACCAAAAATGAAGGTAAAGAGGAAAATTCATAGTTAGCCTACTGAACTGAGCTGAAATTTTAAGCTTTTACAAGACCATTTTAACACACAGCACACTTATCCACCATCTTTTAAATCATGCACAACAAAACACGACCGTTGATATTAGCCTTACATAGCATGCAATCACATTCCTAATGAAGGAGCACGGCCTGGAAAGGTAAAGCCTACAATACGCTTCACCGTAGTGAGGGCTCTGCTTAGCCTGAGACAGTTCTGCAGTTTAAAATGAGTTGTGTCGCCAGAGCGGTAAGCCTGTTCTACAAATGCTTTCAAGACACAATGGTTTGTTACAGCGTCAGCAGCTGGTGTAACGCTACTGCGGCACAACTCGCCTAACACCACATAAAATTCAGGGCAACGTGACTCAGTAAGTCCACAAAAAATGTCATTTCGACCAGGAGAAGCAGCATTTCGAAGCTTTTTTTCCCCCTCCTTTTGTAAAAGCAGACTTTTTTTTTTTTAAACAGCTTGAAGGTAGCCAGTGACTGTCACAACTCCATTCATAAATCTATTTTCCCTTTTACTGTAAGGCTATTTGCATGCTTTTAGAGTAAGTCTGTTTAACACTTAAGAAAATGGACTTTAAAAAAAAAAAAA